GTAATTGATACTTTAGTTATGCTTTAGTTAGAAGAGAACGTAAAGAGTTAAAGAAAGTGTCTCAGGAGCATAAACTGTCTTATACTATAATAAAAACATGGAAACTGCCTTATAGTGTTAATAACTCTGCTTTAAACGGTTCAAGAGGGTTTGACGTTAGTACAGTACTATTCTTTTGTGGGAACCGAAATTCACCTATTATCAAAATTACGTAAATAAGGAAATTTATAATAAACCCTAATTTTCCAAAGGACTCGACTATTTGCGGAACCGCACAAGAATAATTAAGACAATGATGAATACAAAATCAAAGTATAGAAAAACGAGATTGAGAGCAAGAAGGATTCTTATTCCGAATTCGCGTAAGAACGGTACAACAAGAGTAGCCTTAGCTGCGTGAGCCGTCAGCGAGATTCCTAATCCTAGCAATCTAAAACTAAAACCTTAGTTGAGACGCAGCTCGATAACGAAAACGGAAATATTCCTAAATGCTAAGTTTGGTGGTAAAAGCTCTGAAAACTCGTCCTCCTCTTCTGTCCTTTGCCTCTTGTTTATATACTCCCTTTCTAGGCAGTTTTGGTCCTTCCATTTCGCCCAGATTCGAGTTATCGAAAAACTTCCATTTATCTCTATCTTTCCCTTTTTCCCGCGGAAATCTTCTATTTATCCTCATACTTGACATTTATCTTCAAATTTGACATTTATCTTCTTTCTGCGAGTAAATCGTCAAAATGACGTCGTATCTTCGGGTTAGATTTCGTTAAAGTCGCGAGATAGGCTTTTATTGTGTTTTACGACTTTCCGAACCGTTGATAAAACCGTTTTACAACTTTATACGAGATCGTTTCCTGATGCGATGCCGTTTTTTAAATAAGTTTCTCGAGTTAATCGCAAAGTTTGGCAATGTTCGATGTTTCGGTTAATCGCTGCCGTTTTCTACGATTTACTCGAGGTTTTATTAAAAACGCGTTTTTACGATTTATCACGAAAAATCTCGAATAAATCATATAGTTAGGAAATGTTCGGTGTTTCGTTTAACCGTTGCCGTTTTATACGATTTCCTTGAGTTCTTTCGAGAAAACAAGACTTTACGGTTTTTCTCGTAAAACTCGAACGATAGGACGGATCGAGACGAAACGAAAGACATTTCGACCGTGGTTCGGAACATAATCGTGCCGAAGGACGTATGCCTTGAATCGAGGACGTGGGAGATCGAGGCTTGGGATAATCAGCTTGACGTACGACGAGCCAAACCGGTTCAGCTCGCCGTACGGCGAGCTATACGGGAAGTGTCTAGCTCGCCGTACGGCGAGCTAGCCGTGACGTGACTAGCTCGCCATACGGCGAGCTAGCTCGAGGCCACTTAGCTTGCCGTACCAGTTCGCGGTTTACGGCGGATGCGGTTTTTTGCAGTTTTGTGCTTAACTCGGTCGATCATGTAATTGGCGTTTGCTTCGTTTTTCCGAGATAACGATTTCCAAGTTTTCCGCGGATTACCTTTGTTTGGAAACTTATTAGAATTTTATAAAACGACTTCTCGAGTTTTATAAAACGACTTCTCGAATTTTATAAAACGACTTCTCAAGTTTTATAAAACGATTTCTCGAGTTTAATAAAACGATTTCTCGAGTTTTATAAAACGACTTATCGAGTTTTATAAAATGACTTATCGAGTTTTATAAAATGTATTTTTGACCCCAACATCTTTCACAACAAAAAAGGGGGATAATACATTACTCATTTGAATTCAACACCCCCTATATTTTCTTTAATCATAACATGGTTATGCGAAGCTCCATGCAAGTTTAGGCTAAACTTCTATAAATTTTAGATCTTATCTACTTAGCCGTCTATAGCATAAATTGTTTTTATGCCTACACACTACAATGATTTTTGTTCAGATGTCTTTAAACTGAGATAAATTTTGGCATGTTTCGCGGGCTTATGTTATAATTAAAGAGAAGATCGACCGTAAACAATATAGCCATTTAACAAATCAACTAGATTATGAGGGTATATTTATTGTATTATATATTTTTAAAATAATTTTTCTATTTCTGTTTTCTAATTTCGTTCAAAAAAATTGTGTTCTTAATAGTATTGATGATTTACAGAAAATTATTACACATAATAATTGGTCATAAATTAAAAATGGATTTCCACAAAATTGATAGATGTAATTGAAAAAGCCCACAGAGTTATTTCAAAAATTAAAAATTAATGGATCTTGTTCTTAGGGATTCTGTGAGCATTTTAAAATCCATTACGTTTAAACGGATCACGAGAATATAACTGATACATAGATCGTGGTTTGCAGTTTACTTAAATTATTAGATATAGTTATAAATTTTAATTAATCAATAACTGTTGGACTGAACCGGTCATGCTACAGAATTAAGAGCATTTCTATTGGGAATTCTTCTCTTTGGAATTCGGAAAATATGTTTTATGCATGTATATATATCTTATTATATAAAGCTTGGTTTTCAAAGTTACTAATTAACAAGATCACAACACGTGGCAATTATAAATCTAAGATTATGACAAGTGTTTAATAAAAAACTTCCTTAAAAAAAACTTAAACAAAAAAAAAAGAGTTAATTTTCCTTTTTTTAAATCCTAAATACCAAATTTTAATTCCTACACAAAAAGAATTATAAAATAAAATAGTAGTTTTCAAAAACTATATAAAGCAAAAACGAATTATAATTTTTAAAAATACTTATAAAATATTTATTATAATTTTCCTTTTTAAAAAAATCCTAAACAAAAGAGGTGTAAGCTATTTGTTTGTAAATAACTAACTTTCATGTTTATTAAAAAAAATCCTATTTAAAAGATCATTAATAAAAATTATTTTTTTTTAAAAAAAAAATATTTGATAGTATTTTTTCCTTTTTAAAATTCTAAATAAAAGATAATTACAAATAGTTATTTGCAAGTAATTTTTCTTTTTTAAATCCTAAATTCTATATTTTAATTCCTACACAAAAATAATTATAAAATAAAATAGTATTTTTCCAAAAACATATAAAGCAAAAACGAATTATAAATTTTACAAATACTTATAGAAATATTTAATATAATTTTCCTTTTTTTAAAATCCTAAGCAAAAGATGTGTAAGCTATTTGTTTGTAAATAACTAACTTTCATGTTTATTAAAAAAATCCTATTTAAAAGATCATTAATCAAAAGTATTTTTTTTATTTTTTAAAAAATATTTGATAGTATTTTTTCCTTTTTAAATTCTAAATAAAAGATAATTACAAATAGTTATTTGCAAGTAATGTTTCTTTTTTAAATCCTAAATTCCATATTTTAATTCCTACACAAAAAGAATTATAATATAAAATATTTTTTTTCAAAAAATATATAAACAAAAGACGAATTATAATTTTTACAAATACTTATAAAAAATATTTAATATAGTTTTCTTTTTAAAAAAAATCCTAAACAAAAGAGGTGTAAACTATTTGTTCGTAAATAACTTACTTTCATGTCTATTAAAAAAAACCTATTTAAAATCCTAAACAAAAGAGGTGTAAAGGTAAAATTCGTATTTAAAATCCTAAACAAAAAAGGTGTAAATGTAAAATTTCAGCATTTTGTTTGTAAATAACTAACTTTCATGTTTAATAAAAAATTTCCTACTTTAAAAATCATAAAGCAAAAGAACTACAAATATTCCATATATATAGGTCTAACTATTTAAACTTTCTCATATTTTTTCTACATAACACAATAATATTTACAACACAAATATTACTTGAGTATCTTTTTTATCTTCATGATACAACTCTAATTTTATTATTGTGATACTTTCTACATCTGATGATGTTGTAACTGTTGTAAAATTATGATGATGTCGTTTTAAATGAGTACATATGAATATTATGAATAAGTGTTTATACATGTAAGAAAATATATAGTTAATTTTAATATCATTTTATTACAATATTATGTTTTACACGTTTATAAGCGTCATAAATCACTTTTACCTAATTTTCTACTTTTTTCATTTTAGTATTTTTCTTCTAACTTAAATTTTTATTATTTTCTTCAAGTAAAAATGAACTCATATAGTTGTTTAACATATGTTCTGTTAAATAATTTTTTTGTTAAGTTACTAGAAGAGAAATTCCTTAGGATAGACATAAAAACAAATTGTCACAAATATAGACCTTAAAAATAAAAATGATCAAAATAAACTTAAATATTTTATCAAAAAAGTAAATATACACTTATACCCCTACGGTTAATTAATCTAGACATTGAAATTTAGAGTTAAGAGATGGAGTTGGAGTTTAGACATTATAATTTTTCCTTCTTTTTTAGATCCTAACAAAAATAAAATAACCTATTTAGTACTAAAAGAATTTGATGAGAGGTATGATGCTAAAGCTATTACATTAACAAAAATTAAAAACAAATATGATGTTTTCGTGATTGGTATTTGTTTGGTCATACATAAATCAAACACATGTTTGATATATACAAATTTCATGTTTGATCATACAAAATTGATTATTATAATTGTCACCGTAAATATGTTTGGTAAAAAAAAAATTTCATAGTTATCTTATTTTTTTATTTAATTTTAGTATGTAATATTTTCTAATTCATTTTAGCTAAAATCTTATTTATGAAAATGTATCACTAATAAATAATGAATCAATAAAATTATATAACACCAGATAAGTATAATAAAAACACTATATTAGTAAATAACAAAGTGTATAATGTATTCATTACTTCTTGGCCTTAGTTAAATTCCAAATTTCTTTTTATTTTATTCTAATTCTTATTTCGGGTTAGATTATATTTACATTTTTAGGTATGAATGTTTTTTCTAGCTCTATGTACAAAGATGATAACAATTTATCTATGCACCACGATTATAAAATACAAATATTAACTGAAACTTATGTATGAAAACAAATTCTTACTTATAGAATAAATCTCACATAACATATGCAAAATATATCTTTAAAATATAATACTTTATTTATAATATTTTTTATTAGTCAAAATATCAAACAAAGTCCGTTGCAACGCAACGGGCCCAAATCTAGTATTATATAATTATAAGTAATTATAGGGTCCATAATTTTTGTAGAAGCCCATAAACAAAGGTTCCAAAATCTCATTTTAAGAATCTTTGTCTATGGAATTCTACAAAAATTATGAACCCCACAAATACTTATACCTATATAATATATACACATATAATACATGTTTTATGAATTCCAAGACGAAAAACCCCCAATGGAGTAATAGAATAGATTTTGAAAAAAAATAATCTTTCAAACTGTTCTAATATAAAAAAGAAAACACATAAGCCAAAAGTCACAAACGACGCACGTGCCGTCTGCAACTCCATACATGATACATCCTCTTGGATCGATTCAACCCCCGAATCGGAGTTCCAACTTCCAAGTAAAACAGATCTTTTATTGAATCTCACGAAGACTTTCTATTACAGAACAACAACAACATATAATGTCAAAATCTCAAACCTATATAGATATCAGATCAATGTTCCAAATCAGATCTACACCGCCTTGAAAGACTCAAGACTTCTGTAATGAGCCCACACCCTCTCCACCACGACGGCCTCGTAGTTCTTAATCGCACCACCACCATCCTTCGCCGCAATCTTCAGATCGTACTTTTTCCCGTTGATCACTTGCTCCTTTCCCTCGACTATCTTCACGAACACAAGATTCGCCTTCGACTTCTTGTTATGCTCATCAACCGCATACTTCGCGAGCGATACCACGTTCGGATCCGATAAGTCCTCGATCTTCTTCCACCCACCAAGGTTGCCTTCCACGACGGCGATGAGAGGGAGGAGGATGAGGGTGAGACAAATCAAAGACTTCATCATTTCTTTCTTTTTTTTTTGTTACCTTGGACGGTGTCTTCGTGTTTGATTCTCTTGTTTTTATAGATTTTTCAAGATATGGTGTTGCTTTGGAACGTGGGCAGATAGTTCCAGAAATTTACGGACAGACCTATCATTTTACGCGGTGATGAGAGTTTATTGTCGTTCTTACACCGTCAGATTCGACAACTGGATAATGTCCCACGTGGTTCAAGTTACGGACACGTTAAAGAGTCAACGTAAGTTGTCGCGTCACGTGTTTATTTTCTTGCCAAATTTGTAAACTTAGTGGAGTAATGGATTTATTGGTAGAGCACTAAATGGGTCCATGTTTGTTGATTTGGGCCAACTTGGAATCGCGTCGGCAGTACAGTGATGAAATAATATGTCGTCGTTTTGGGCAATGTGTCAGAAACTCTTGAGTGAAGCCTAGTTCTGTACCCAGATTAGTGTTTGGAAGTGGGTCAAACTCACTCCACCCGATTTCCAATGCAGCAGATTGAGTCATTTCTATAATTCAAAAATTTGATTCATCTGACTGTAAGGAGAATATATTTTATCCATATCCGTTTTACTTAGTTTTGCGGATAACCCATGAAATCCACGAATAATTATTAAATAATAAAAAGAAAAATTTAGAAAAGTAACTTTAAATGAGATTATATAAAAGTACATCATATTTAAATTTTCTTAAAACTACACTGATTTATAAGTGAAATGATCAAACTATCCAATTTTAATGTTTATCTTTTTATAATGATCTTACTAGACCATGAGCCGCCCGACCGGACGGGTGTTTTGTTTTCTTTTAATTTTTAAGTTTATACTAAATGATGTATGTTTGTAATAGTTACATAACTTTGATTATTCTGAATTTACCTTGAACTATTATTTATATAGAAATATACATAACATGATATGTTTATATTAATCTTTTTATCGTATATTATATAAATGTTTCTTTTTGTGACTTTTATTTTAGTTATTACTTATAAATAATAAAAATATAATTATATATCTTTGAAAAAAATATTGTTCATTAATTATTTAAAGATATGTAGATAATTAATAAGAAAAAAATCCTAAAAGGTAGGTTAATTAATATTGGAATTAATTATTATGTATATGGAATTAGTAAACAATTTCTATATAATTTATTTATTTAATTACGAAATTTATATATGAAAATAATTATTTTCATTAATTATTTAAAGATATGTAGATAATTAATAAGAAAAAAAATCCTAAAAGGTAGGTTAATTAATATTGGAATTAATTATTATGTATATGGAATTAGTAAAAAAATTTCTATATAATTTATTTATTTAATTACGAAATTTATATATGAAAATAATTATTTTCATTAATTACTGTTTCCATAATTATTTTTAGTTAAAATTTGATTTTCGAAATGCATTAAATAAAGTGAAAAGACAAAGAATCCTATAAAATAGGGTAATTAATAACTTCAGTGGCATAACATTGTAAATAATTAGAAAAATTCAGGGATATTTTATATGGGTACTTCTCTTTTAATAATATAGATATCTTAACTAATTACTTTAATTTAAAACATAAAAGAGTACGTTAAAAATATATCAACAATCAATTTTTTTTTTCTTTTTCAGATAATACTCTTATATCTAATATATTCAGCAATATAAAGTAGATGATTTTCACTCACCTTTCCTAAACAAACGTTACAACATATGATCACAATTAACCATATCTTTTTCTATAAGATCCTTTGATTAACAAACCAATCAGTTATAGATGCATAAAATTTATTTAGTAAATAGTTAAATGATCTCTTCTTTTGACCAGAAGCCTGTGTTTGTTTTGATATTTTCAATTATTCATATACGAAATACACATGAAACAACCTATATAAAAATTCTGAGAGTCAAATAGTGCCTAGATGTATATCTTCTCTCTTTATCACAATTTATTATTTTCTGTAAATTTCAGCTTGGATTAGCACTAGACAACTTTTGAGAAGAGGTGATCTTTTGAAAACTTAAAAGCACATGGAGCGCAGAGGAACTTTTGTCGTAAATTTTGACCGTACTTACGATGTGGAATTATCTACCTTAATGATGTAAAAATGGATAAATAGACAAAGAAAAGAGATTCAATTCATATATCATTATCTGTCATAAAAATACTAATGGCAATAACTTCAACAATGGAATACCAGAAAAGGTCACGAAGAATAGTCGAAAACAATTAAAAACTATTATTAACTTTATTTATAGTAGTTCTAATTATAATATTATTTCAAATTTAAAATTAAGAAATATATTTCTAATCTACAACTTAAATCAGGACAAAAATGTCTTATCACATAAAAGAAAGTGTAATTTCCAAAAATGAAAATAGATGTATTTTTAAAAATTTAAAATACAGTTGGAGTATTTCTGAAAATCCCATAATAAAAATAATTATTTTATTTTTTAAAAAACTAATATAAATAATATCTTTAATATTTTAAAAATATTTTATTTATTATAACGAGTTTTAGTATATTTTTCTATTTTTTGCAGGTTAGCGGATATCCGCAAATTAAATTAGACTAATCTGCACTCAATCCGTATAAATACATTTGACTCGTATATGCATCCGTGGTTTAATTTTCTCAAATTGATCTGACTCGAATCCGCCCGCAAAAGATCAAACGGGACCAGACCCACAGATTATGATTAAAATTCCCAACACTAGGCGGGACTGACGATATCAATGTCTTAAAAACTGTTTAATGATGAACATAAATTACTTCAAGTAATTGTCTAATAGTGTATACTGGTATGCCTGGCAAATATTTTTTTTTTGAACATTACGTCTGGTAAATGTAAAATGATTTATTATTCAAATAATCAATTCTCATCAACAACCAAACATATTAAAGATATAAAATAAATTAATAACCTATCGATTTTATTTGCGTCTTTACTCATGTTTGGCTTGTTAATGTAGCTAGCTTTTTGGATTAGTTTTCTTAACAAAATTTGTTTTGATGGCAAAAAAAAAAATCAGGTTTGATATGTTTTTGCCTTTTTATTTCAAGTAAATGTCTACTAATGTATGTATCAGCGCGATGTATGGAAGCGCACGTGGTTGTGCGTTTCTCGCTCCGGTAGCAGAGTCGGGAGCGGAAACGCTCCAAATCGCCTGGAATCATCTTGAAATGGTGATTCCTAAATTGAAGTGTTTGGAAGCATATGATTCCAAGGTGAAAGTGCCAGTGGTGCAAATCAGAAGCGTTAGAGAAGATGATATTTGGAGAAGATGATTTTATTGTAAACATCAGTTGCTTACTGTGTTCGAATCATAAACACAATTTACAAAATTCAAATTTGTTTTGTTGCCCAACTTAGTCCATTTGATAAACATAAAACCAAAATTCATTTTTTTTCAAAACAAAGAAGTGAAATAGCCGAGAACTAAAAAAAATCGTTACAGTAAACATCTAAAAAGGTAATTTCATATAGCTCTGTTTTTATCATAATCTAAATTTACTTTTCTTTTTGTTCACTTGTTTGTTTTGTTTGTATAAATCAACTATTTAATTGATGTGCGTCAATTGATTAATTGATGTGCTCTGTTTTCTTTTTCAGTCTAAAAGCCATATATATGTCATATAACTTAGATAGATATTGTTATATTTTTCTTTGTAAGTCTACATATTATTTTTATTTTCAAGTTATCCTATATGCATAAACTGTAACTAAATTTCACTACTAAAATTATTTAGATTTAATATAATTTTACTATGGTATTTAATATATATATATACGCTTTCAAACACGTACGCGCTTCTTAAATATTTTTAAAAATTTGCTTCCACGTATCCGCTTCCGATTTCATATAAAATAGATTAGTATGCACAACAGAAATAACATTGTACATGTTGTAGAGTCTTAACCTAATCTGGAAGGTTTATATAGTCTTTCTTATAAATTGATCTTCGTAGTTATCCCAAAACCAACCGTTTGCTTTTCTTCTTTAATTATTGACATATTTCAGAATACCATAGCTACAAAAATATATTAACTTTTTTTTTTGAACAAATTTCTGTAAAAGAGTGCAACACGAAGAATTTCTGAGAAGTTACCTATCCTAGTACTACTCTCGCCCAAATATGCTTAACTGCGGAGTTCTGATGAGATCCGGTGCATTAGTGCTGCTATGATCGCACCCAACAATTATATTAACTTTCTATTTCTCCAAAATCAACGGTAAGGAAGAAGGAAATGGAAATAGTAACAATACATTTGTCTAATCTAAGATGATACCATATATATATTCATGAGCGGGGGGTGGTGCATGTCTTATCGGCATTTCCATGAAAAATGAGAGGTTTTGTTTTGGATTGGCGCGCTTAGCAAAGATTTCTTATAGTCTATGCATTAAAATAACACTTTGCTGCTAAATTTTACTAGGTTTATCCGCAAACCATCTAGTCTCCAATATTCATTTGCAAAAAAAAAAAAAACATTAACACTAACACCAAAGCATATATACTTTGATAGTCTTATTTATTTTATTCCAAACAAAATACATATTTACAAACAATATAATGTAAAAATATCAAATCACCAGAAATCTTATATATATATATATATATATATATATATATATATATAAGATTTCTGAAAAACTCAGCGATCTGAGCATTTTTATGTTCCTTGTCAAACACTGATGCCTCATATATCTCTGACCAATTCTCACTATTCCTTACCCCGATTTTAAAATAGTCTCTTTGTCCTGTGTCTATTTGCTCCCTTCCCTAGAGGATTCGAAGGGCACCCGCAGTGGTCACTTTTAACAGAGTACGTCAAGCATAAAAACTAATATTAAAATTAAAAACAAGAAAGAGAAAGCAAAAATTGAGGGAGAAGTACCTTTAGGAAGAGCTTTTCTATTTGTTATGAGAGATTAATCTACAGATGTCGACACAACATAATTTAACACATTTAACTTTTAATTATATAATCATGTTATCTTACAATACTAATATATCTATCTTGAGAGACGTCGATGTAGAAATCTATTACTAAAAATGCTCTAATGAACACTAGTTTATTTTTTTGAATGCTTGTTATGCTCATCGACTGCAGACTTGGCGATGTTAACGAAGTAATCATGATCTAAATTCCTGATTCTCTTCCACCGACCCGGTGGTGTCTTTTCTCCCAACGGAGATGACAAGGAGGAGGATGAGACACATACAAATCAAAGCTTTCAACATCTATTCTTTGTTCTTTGGTTTTGTGAGTTTTATAGCTGGGAAACTTAGACTAAATATAAGATATTTGAAATTTCTTAATAATAAATTGACAAACTTAGCATAATTATATTTATTTGACAGATCCAAAATTCTGTTTTTTTTTTGCTTTTATTTGCTTTTATTTC